AAGCAATTTATTATTTCTTTTTGTAATTACTGATTTTGTAAATAACTAATGTTTGTAATATTTTTAAAATAAGTATTCATGTACTATAATAAAATAAAAATAAAAGGAGTTTGGACTTAGAGAGATCTCAGGGCCTAATTAAAATAATTGTTACTAGTGTTGCCTCTCACAGGTCTGAGGGCTCACTATTAGTATAAATAGCAGCCTGGCCCCTAGGGCAGGTACTCGACTTCAGCAGCAGCAGCAGAAGCAGAAGGACCTCCTCATCACTACTATTGCCTGCCAGTTACTCCTCACTCTCGATCTTCTTACTAAGTCCAGCGCCTTAAGCTGTTAAGGGCCACACTTATCCCGTGGAACTCAACCTCGACAGCCAATCGGGCAGCAGTATACTTGTAAGAAGATAGCTGCTCTACAGCCTACAAGATGAACCCTGAGCATGTTGACCTACCATCGACGGATGAAGATGTTATCAACATGGAATTAGGAAATGAAGACCCACGGGCTGAGAAGAAGAGGCCACATAGCGATTCCGAAGGGTTCGTGCAGCCTCCACCCAACAAAGTACTCAAACCGAGGAGGAAAGTAGACAATGGCACAGCATCTACTTCGGTTTCTAACCGGTTTCAGGTGCTAGCAACCAATGAAGACCGACGTCCACCACCTATCATCGTAAAACCGGCCATATCACAGCCATCTGTCAAGAGGATGATGGCAATGATAAAGGTCAGAGAATATTTTATTAACAATTCTGCGAAAGAGACCAGGTTGTACGTAAGCAACGAACAAGACCACACCAAAGTGACAGAAATGTTGCTTCAAGATAAAGATGTAGAGTTCCATACATTTGCTCCGAGAGGGACAAAAAGATCGAAGAAATTTGTCATCCACGGATTCGACCTGGACTCTGACATGGAAACCATAACTGATGCACTGAAGCGTCGGCTCCCCGGCTTCAAGATGGCCAGACGCCTGAAGAGGACCAATAAGGCCGGGAAAACTTATGAAACCGAGGAAATCCAGCTCATAACTGAACACACAGTCAAACTGGAAGATATCCAGAGACTCGAAGCTATCGACTATGTACGCTTCAGAGTAAGGGTGTACAAAGAAACGAAGGCCCCAGTACAGTGCAGGAACTGCCAGGAGTTCGGCCACACAATGCAATATTGTGGCCGAACCTGCCACTGTGCCTGGTGTGGAGAACAACATTTGAACACAGAGTGCCCTAAGAGAGCTCCGGCTAAATGCTGGAACTGCAGCGGTAACCACCCTGCATTCTCAAAAGAATGTCCCTCCCGACAGAAACTTATGGAAACAAGGAAGAAGCAGGGCTCAGCCACCAGCACAATGAGGAATCCGGCCAAACCAGTCCGTAAGGACCTATCATTCTCTAATGTCATTGGCGGGACAAACAACCAATCACAGCAGCCCACTGCCTCCCATCACCTGACTTCCCCCCACCACCAGACCCAAAATAGCCCGACCCCAGCGATCACCAGCACACTTGAAACCCAGCCACCTAGGACAACAGAATCAACTCTAGTAACCCTCGTTGAGAAGATGTTGGACAGGATGGACACGATGTTAAATTTTATAACAACTCTCCTTCAAACCGTGATGCCCATCAAGAAAAATGACTAAACACCTCGTAGTCAACCTGAACATCAGAGGCCTCCTATCAAAGTCGGCCGAACTAGAGCTTTTCCTACAGCAGCACAGACCATCGGTTGTGGCACTGACTGACACAATGTTGCCCGCATCGTCTCGAGTATTTTTCCAGGGGTATACTGTGTACCGGGAGGTGTGCCCCCCGGGGAGAGCTGAGGGCGTCGCTATACTGGTCAGAAGAGATGTACCTTCAAAAACCATCACTAACCCAGTGGAACCTACCGAGGGAACTCACATAGTCACAGTGGATGTACGATTTAAAAATCGCTATACGTTCACCTGTGTTTATAGGAGACCGAGGGCAAATCTCACATCTGTGAAGCTCCTGCTACAACACGCCCAGGCGAGGAGTCGGCATGTAGTCATTGGTGACTTTAATGCTCGACACTCTTCCTGGCTCTGTGGTCGCGACATTCCCCTGGGGAGGTACATCACTAAGACCAGCCTGGCCGTCTTTCACCCCGGCGTGCACACTTTCCGACACGCAGCCCGCCCTGATTGGACCTCAACATTAGACCTGCTGTTAACCAGAGAACAGCACACCATTACGGACTGCCACGCACTACCGTATGGTCCCTCTGATCACCGGCCTGTGCTCTACACTTTCGAGGGCATGCCAGCCACACCGCCGGCGAGCAAGTATCTACTAAACAAGGCAAACTGGAAAGAATACAGATCTTGCGTTGAGAACACACTACCAGCTATTACACCGTGCAGGACTCGAGATGAGGTGGACAGTGCTGTGAAAGTCATCACCACAACCATCCAGGATTCAGCCAATCGTAATATCCCCAGGTTCGCCCCACAGCCCAACTCCATCAGAAGACCACCGCGGCACATTCTTGCACTGATAAGCCAACGGAACAACATCAGAAACATCTTCCAGCGCACCCGCGATTATAGTCTGAAGCCGGCCATCAATGCGATGACCCGGCAGATAGCTAGCCTCATGCGTGACTGGAAAACTTCTCTATGGCATGATCAGCTACGGAGGACACACGATGATCACCGCTAGTTCTGGAGACTCATCAGGACTTTCGTCAGCAAGAAGAGAAGTGTGCATCTGACAGAAGGTGACGCGCTGCTAACACCCGGGGAACAGGCTGAACTACTGTCGAAAAGCTATGCAGCGGGTGACGCAGAGCGGACGAGAAGTGCCCCTCCTGTACAGGATGGACCATCTCCCAGTCTCATCGAGAAGCCCGTTTTCTCCAGTATTAACCAGCTTGAGTCGGTACTACGGCGCACTAAGGGAAACAAAGCGTCAGGACAGGACGAGATACCGTATGTGCTACTAAAGATGCTCCCAAGGAAGGGTAAAGCCTTCCTCCTGAACATCTTCAACTCATGCCTGCGAATCTCGTACTTTCCCACAGCCTGGAAACAAGCAATCGTAGTACCCCTACTAAAGCCGGGGAAGAAAGGAGACGCGGCAGAGCACTATCGCCCAATCAGCCTCCTCTCGCACATCAGCAAGATCTTCGAGCGCTTGATTCACTACCATCTCATAAAACACTGTAGGGAGAAGAACATTATACCACCAGAGCAGACAGGTTTCCAACAAGGTGTCGCCTGCGAACACCACTTGGCGAAACTTCAGGCACACACCATAGAGCAGATGAATCACAACAGAGCTACGGCACTCATCTCACTGGACTGCAGTCAGGCCTTTGACTGCGTGTCTCACGCGCTGTTACTCCGACGGCTGGAAGAGTACAAGTTCCCAGCCCCTCTATGCCGACTGATCAGAAGCTATCTTAGCGGAAGATCTCTCGTCGTACGAGTTGGTGACGACTACTCTAACCCAGTCGATACCACCTGTGGAGTACCTCAAGGGTCTGTGTTGGGACCAATACTGTTCGTCGTTTTTACGGCGCCAGTAGTGGCACTCAAACACCCAAACGCAGTGGTAGCAGCCTATGCTGACGATATCGGGATCTATGCATCGAGCACTAATGCAAAGAGAGCCCTCAAGCATGCAGAAAAAGCCACAGAAGCCATCGTCGGAGAGCTAGAGAAAAATGGCATCAGAGTGAACCCCATGAAGACTGACGCTATCGTGATGTCGTTCCAGCAAGGGAAAAAGCCACTACCCACTCACTTCACCATCGGTAGTGTGGACCAGCGGATCTCCAACTCAGTAGTCTATCTCGGCGTGACATTGGATAGACACCTAACATTCTCCAGTCATGTCAAACAAAGACTCAAGCTGGCAAAACAAAAGTCACATAGGCTCTACCACCTGCTGAAGTCGCCGCAGCTCTCGCTGAGACTAAAACTGCAGATATACAAGGCGGTCATCAGACCTACGCTGCTCTATGGTGCACCGCTTCTCCGACACCCTTACCGGACGACACTCCAGAGACTGCAGGGATTCCAAAACTCCGTCCTTCGGCGAATAGTCAGAGGTACCCATCTTCAGCGATCCAGGAACAGAGACATCTACCAGGAGCTCCAACTACCCTCGGTCCCGGAATTCATTGGCCGGAGGCACATCAAATTTTTTGATGGGCTTAAGGCCTGTGCAAATCCATTATTCCAAGAAATCGCCCCACCGCCCAGGCCTGGAAGGTGGCAAGGCAAAGTCCCCCTGGTAGATGTCTTTGACGAAGGAGGGGGTCTGGACGCGGCAGTCTGAATCCTCACATTTGTACATAGTGTATATATATAATTGTAAATATGTAAATATATCCTCATCCCTATCCTTTATGAAAAAAGCAGGGCGGTCCCTCCACGCCCGGTGATGAAATTAAGGCCTAAGGCCACAGAAAGTATCCTATGCTTACGGCATAAACTGTCATTTACCTTAAAATACCCTTGGGTAAGCAAAGGTCAAGCAATAATGTATATATACATTCATAGATGTATGTTGTAAGTAGTGTTAAATAAAGTTTCTGGGGGGTCAGAAAAAAAAAAAAAAAAAAAAAAAAAAAAAAAAAAAAAAAAAAAAAAAAAAAGGGCAGGTACTCTCTCCCGAGTCACTACCATCTCACATAGGCTCCTGGTATCTCTCTGTCTGACAGTTTGAAACCAGACCAATGTGTTATTTTTTGGTTTTACCTTCCTCCTTCTCTCTTCTCTCCTAACCTACCTCCTCTCTCCTTTCGTAGGAATAACTTGGTTGGCCCTTGTTTTCCTACAGTCCCCCTTGCATCTTCCAGGTTGTCCCTGGGAGTGTAGGGTTACCTATCCTCGCAACGCCAGGGGATTGCCTCCTCGGTTGCAGAGCCCTGGATGTGTAGGGGTTGTCCCCCTATCATTCTTGGCGGTCTTACCTTATCCTATCCTCGCAACGTCAGGGGATTGCCTCCTCGGTTGCAGAGCCCTGGATGTGTAGGGGTTGTCCCCCTATCATTCTTGGCGGTCTTACCTTATCCTATCCTCGCAACGTCAGGGGATTGCCTCCTCGGTTGCAGAGCCCTGGATGTGTAGGGGTTGTCCCCCTATCATTCTTGGCGGTCTTACCTTATCCTATCCTCGCAACGTCAGGGGATTGCCTCCTCGGTTGCAGAGCCCTGGATGTGTAGGGGTTGTCCCCCTATCATTCTTGGCGGTCGGTTGCAGAGCCCTGGATGTGTAGGGGTTGTCCCCCTATCATTCTTGGCGATCTTACCTTATCCTATCCTATCCTCGCAACGTCAGGGGATTGCCTCCTCGGTTGCAGAGCCCTGGATGTGTAGGGGTTGTCCCTCTATCATTCTTGGCGGTCTTACCTTATATACCTTATCCTTCTCATCCTATCTAAGCTTATACACCCTATTATTACAAACTTAAATAGATACACGAATACCAGGTTAATTGACTAACAGAAAGATTAAAGGTTAGAAGGACAGATTTCAGATTTTAAAAGATAAAATTCGGCAATAACAGACAGACAGACAGAGATATAAATAAATGTAAAAATAAAAATATTACAATATATATATATATATATATATATATATATATATATATATATATATATATATATATATATATGTATATCTCTTAAAACAAATATTTATTAAACAGATATCAAAGGTTAATTACTTATTAAGACTGACTGTACAAAGCTTAACGTGTTTAATACTAAATAACAGGTTTTAATCACCTTATAAACAAATACTGCAAAAATAAAAATAATAACTGCATTTTGGTTACTGATGAATCTTGCTTTACAAGAAAAGGGATTTTTAATTTTAGAAATTCCCATACTTGGGCTGAAGAACCCTCACACGACTGCTGTTGGACATTACCAACATACCTTTTCTTTAAATCTCTAGTGTGATCTTCTAAGCGAAAACATCATCGGCCCCTTATTTTTGCCACCTAGGCTGTCAGGTAAATCTAACTTGCATTTTTTGCAAAATAATCTTCATCAATCGTAGATGGTATTCCGCTAGGAATTAGGCAAACGCTGTGATTTGTGCATAACGGTGCTACAGCTCACTTTCCTAATAGTGTTATTGATTATTAAAATGGAGACCGATGGGTTACTTATGGAGACCGATGGGTTGGTCGAAACGGACCTATTAAATGGCCACTAAGGTCTTCGGATTTAACGCCATTAGATTATATTGTATGGGGCTGGATGAAGTCTATGGTTTATTCTGCTGCAGTTGGAGCGCAAGAAGAGTTAAGAAATAGAATGGTGGAAGCCGCAGTAACTATCAAGCACCACCCTGATGCTATACCATGAGCCAGAGAAGCATGGATTCGTCGTGCCGAATGTTGCTTTCAACAAAACGGAGGCTCCTTTGAACAGTTACTCTAAACGTTGTAATAATAATAAATAAATAGTTATAATAAATAATAAACCTTAAACCTTTGATATCTGTTTAATAAATGGGTTTGCGATATATATTAATACGAACTTTTTTGTTTATTTTGTGTTAGTGAAAATATACCTAAAATAGTGCCGTTCAATTACAAACTCTCTGTATATATACATATTCCTCACAATTTCTATTAGTTTTATAATTACCTAAATATATGTAGTCTATAATAGTCCATGATTCGTTTGATAATAAAATTTACAGGAGCCGTTTTTGAAGAATGGTCTTGTCAAGAAAAAACACTATTCTAAGCAAAGTTATAATGAAACCGATATTGGGACATGCAAATATCAACGCTCACATCAGACAGACACACACCAATTCGTTCAATGATTTCTAAAACGGGAACAGCGAGTGTAAATTTTCGATTATGGGTCTGCACTTTAAAGAAATTGGTATTTGTTTTAGCCTACCGCAAACAACGCCCACATTTCTATCTCTGTATATTATTCTAAAGGGCTTGTCACAGAATAAATAAAGTATTATTATTATTGCACAAATCCCAAATACCCTCACTTGGTCTGTGATAAAGCAGAATAATTGTTATTCCTGACATCATGTAAAACTTTATTTAGTTTACCAACCTGTGTTATTCTATTTATTGCTTAAAATATGATCTTTTTTCTTTCATGTTCGTCATTTGAATCAGGATAGAGCCCATATTTAGAGAAAGAGGATTCTTTCAATACTCTTGGCTGATCATTCGCAATATAAACTTGTTCATTATTCCTCCAAGCAGATCAAATCTTCCTACAAGATAAGGAGTACTTTTCCATCGAGTTTGGTCAATGTCTTAGTCTCAGATGTAAAGTGAATTCGCTTATTCGCTTTCAAGGAAATTGATACATTCACTTTTCTTGGATGAACGATAATTGTAAAGAATTAAATTATTAAAGAAATACGAAAAAGAATCAATAAGCCGTACAGATATTTCATTGGACTTTGAAGGCATCTTAAAAATCGAAGATTCACCTTTTTTTTTTCTTTTTTTTTGGGAGGGGGGTCCTTCCCTTCCTTGCCGTTAAGGCTATACGGGATTTTCCCGGGCCAGGGAATGTGGGCGGGGATTTAAAAGACTCCCTCGGCACCGGGACGCGAACTCGTGACTATTTTTATATCATTCATTTGTCAGGTTGCCGGGCAACGGCGGTGCAGTGTACACGCTTTAGCCCATTCGGCCACCACGCCCACAATCGAAGATCCACCTGTACTAATTCTGGAAATCACAGATCGCTACAGCTTTCTTCCTCCCTATTATACGCGTATACAAGAAGATGGGTATGTATTTTTCCCAAACCTATTTAATCTATGATTTTGCTAACAGTTCTACGCTTACACATTTTTAAGGTTTTATCCTTAAAAACAATGTAGATGCAATAAATGTATGAAACTTTCTTCGATCTCTCTGTCTCTGTTGAAGCTTTTTGATTCTTGTCAATTGAACTTTACTCTACCGGAATAATCTAATTAGGCTGAATGAATTTGACGAATAATGTAGATAACCTTTTTCAACGAAAGATATTCTTGAAACAAAATCGAACGCTAATTTTATTAGTCCCACATACGAGACTTAAAAGACAAGAACTTAACCAACGATATGGCCAGCTATATAGACTACTAAGCAGGACATCTCATCTTTCGATTGAAAATAAACTTTTAATCTACAAGACAATACTGAAACCTATCTGGACCTACGGACTTGAACTGTGGGGAACTGCTAAACATTCGAATATCAAACGCATCCAATCCTTCCAGTCCAAAGTACTTAGAACAATAGCCAATGCCCCATATTATGTCACAAATAAGACCCTACACCATGACCTTAACATCCCTTTTGTCCTCGACATCATCCCATCCAGATTCTCAAACTTTCACCAGAACCTTATCCATCATCCAAATCCTCTAGCTCAATCCCTATCCAGCTCCCACCATCCCTACAATCCCCCTCGAAGGTTAAAACGGCAGTGGCCGCGAGATCTATTGTAAATATGCTTCTGGAGTCCTGGCAATGGCCAGCTTCTCCACTCAAGTCCTGAGCATCTGTGGCTCTAGTGCCCTCCTTCAGCCTCCACTGGCTTTTAATACTAGTGATGCGGCTGGAAAAATGGCACTGGGATCTCTGGAGTCCTGCTTTGCTTTCCACATGTGGGGAGAAAAGCCTGGCTCGGAGATTCCTGGGCGAATGTATATATTGTATATAGGTATGAATGTGTTTAGAAGTTTTTATTTTATTTTGTTTATTTATTTTATTTATTTTTTTCTATTGATTTACATTTTTTTATAAGTATTATTTATTTACTTTTTATATTTATAGTTCTGTATTACTTGTATATACTGTATGAATGAGAACTTTTAGCCTTAATACTTATAGCCCTCCAACAGTGGCTGATTGTATTATTATTCAATAAAAAAAAAAAAAAAAAAAAAAAAAAAATTATTAGTGTTCAGAATGTCTTAATCGTTTGTATAAATCGGCTTTCATCACGATTTGTACTGAAAACTATAATTGACTGATAGATGGTCTTTAGATTTGGTACTTACCGTTGTACCCTTTTAGAATATGGCAGAATAATATTTCCATTTTTTGGATGTATTTTTTTCTTTTAGAAAATTTCCTAAATAATCTTGTTACCCGTATTGATAATGTTGTAATTTACCAAATAAAATATGGTAAACCTATATCAATTTAAAAGTTAAAACTAACACTGTTTTTAGAATTTAATACAAACTTACTCATACTTACCGCAGAAGAACACATTTGAAACTGCAGGCACCTCAATAGCTTCCTTCATTTCTCTTCTCTACTTTACCTCAATAACCGCCCCAGTTATTGAGTTGACTTTACAGTAAAAAATCAAACATCCCTTGGTTTTCCCCTACTTCAACTACGGTTGCTTGGTATATGGAGGGCTGTTCACAATACTGGATGTGAGACTAAAGAGAATTATGAATTGCTTGGTGTTTTCCTTGTCCATGTCCTCAAAACCAAATACCCTCCCTACATCTTAGAACTCCTTACTTTACACTCCTCCGTCCACTCTATCAACACCAGATCTCAACCTATAGATTTATATATCCTCTCATATAAAACCACTTCAGAAAATCCTTCGTCATTCCTGTGGCCTCCTTACCCATCTCCATACCTAAAACCACGTCCGTGAATTACTTCAAACAACTCCTATTTCGCGACCTACTACAAATTTAAATTTGTAAGAACTTTTAGGTTATATAATTACGTTGACAACCAGCTGTTAATTGATAGGAGCCATTTTATTTTTATTTATTCACTTTATTTTTGTTTTCGCTCTCAGTATTTCCAGTATTTATTTGTACTTTCCTTAGTATTTTTGGTGTATACTTATATTATATCTACATGACTAATGTACACATTTTTTGAACTCTGCTATCATTCTAAGGGGACTTCAGTTCCAGAATAAAATTATTTTTCATTTAATTTCATTTGCCGTTCAGTCCAAAGTCCTCCGAACAATAGTCGTTGTTCCGTTCTATGAAATCAACAAAACCCTACATGATGACCTTAATATCCCATTTGTTCTCGACCTTATCGCTGAAAAATTTTCTAAATTCCATCAGAACCACATAAATCATCCAAAGCCCCTAGAACAATCCTTATGTAGTTCCACTCATCCCTACAATCCTCCTCGAAGGTTGAAGTGGCAGTGGCCCAGAGATCTTCTGTAGTATATATCTTAGAGTTCTGGCAATAACCAGATTCTCCACTCAAGACATGAGTGTATGTGGCTAAAGCGCTCTCGCTCAAACTCCACTGGCTTTAGCACCAATGATGCGGTTGAGAGAGTAGCGCAGTGATCTCTTGGAGTCCTTCTTTTCCTTCTATAGTTCGAGGGAGAAGCCTAGCTTGGGGTTTCCTGCCTGATTGTATATATTGTATATAGGTATGCCTGTGTTT